TCCTCATAGCATCCCTCGAAGACTACATCGGCCTCAATTCTGGCCTTGCCTCTGAAGGTCTTGTACTTGGATTCCCAGCAGTGATCGATGTCACAAATACGGCCACAGTAGCCGTTGTGGCAGTCCTGACCGTAATACTGGTCGTTATAGCAAGTATCATCATAGCAACCTTCGAACACCACATCAGCCTCTACCCTCACTTTGCCACTGAAGGCTTTGTACTTGGGATGCCAACAATGATGAAGATCACAGACCTTGCCGCAGTATCCATCATGACAGTCGTAACCATAGTAGTCATCCTTATGACATGAGTCTTCGTAGCAGCCATCGAATATCACATCGGCTTCAATTCTTGCCTTTCCTTTGACGACTTTGTACTCGGGTTCCCAGCAGTGATCGAAGTCACAAATGCGGCTGCAGTAGCCATCATGGCAGTCGTAGCCGTAATAATGATCCTTGTGACAAGACTCCTCGTAGCAACCGTCGAAGATTACTTCGGCCTCAATCCTGGCTTTGCCTTTAAAGGCGGCCTTGTATTGGGGTTGCCAACAGTGTAGAGTGTCGCAGATCTTGCCGCAATATCCATCATGACAGTCATAACCGTAGTAGTCTCCCTTATGACAGGAGTCCTCATAGCAACCGTCGAAGATTACTTCGGTCTCAATCCTGGCTTTGCCTTTGAAGGCCTTGTAGTCGGGTTCCCAGCAGTGGTCGAAGTCGCAAATGCGGCCGCAGTAGCCATCATGGCAGTCGTAGCCGTAATAATGATCCTTGTGGCAAGACTCCTCGTAGCAGCCATCGAAGATTACTTCGGCCTCAATTCTGGCTTTGCCTTTGAAGGCGTCCTTGTATTGGGGTTGCCAGCAGTGGTCAAAGTCACAGATGCGGCCACAGTAGCCATCATGGCAGTCATAGCCGTAATAGTTACCCTTGTGACAATTCTCCTCGTAGCAACCCTTGAATATTATTTCACCTTCGATCCTGGCTTTGCCTTTGAAGGCCTTGTATTCGGGCTGCCAACAGTGGTCGAAGTCGCACACCCGACCGCAGTATCCATCGTGACAGTCGTAGCCACGATGCTCATTCTTATAGCAGGTCTCCTCGTAGCAGCCTTCAAAGTGGACGTCAGCCTCGAGCCTGGCCTTGCCGGCAAAGTGTTCCAAGTGATGGGGCTGATAATAATGATGCTGCTGGTAGGGGAATGCTAATGCCTGTGCGAACACGCAGGCGAGAAGACAGAGCAGGGTGTACCTCATGGCTGATGGATAGTTGAATGCAAGCCGGTTGGCCGGCCTTTTATATGTGCGTTATAAAAAAATCCATGAGTTGGCCATGTGATCTACTCGGGAACGCTCGAGTAAGGCCGGATCGGTATGCATCGATTAGGATGCACTTGGCTTTCACAATCTCATCCGCACTGACCTGACCCGAAGGCTTGACCTCTAATCAGCCGAAGCGCTGCGCTTTGTGACATATTGAGTTTACGGGAATTGAACTGCATTTGGCGGGGTGTCGGATGGTAATCTGTTATTTTTCCTTAAATATGGGGTCATCACGACTACAGTGTGGCTGCTGCGGTTTTGGGGTTTTCCAGTTGCGGTCCTCACGTGTAGGTGCCTGGTAAATCGCAGCATTTGTCTCTTGTGTGTGTTGTCTGCGTCTTGCCTCTTTTAGCTGGCGCTCAACCGTCCTTTTTGACTTCCCTAAGTTAGTCTCTACCTGTCGTCCACGCCCGGGTAATCGACTCGATCGGCAGGCTAAACCAAATGAGGGACACCGATGCTGTGTGCACCCACACCTGGTAATTCTGCTCCATCCCTCCCCCTTTTCAGTTTCAAAATGCATACTGACCATGCGATATGCAGTCCCGTGGGCGACCTAAGCATACTTGGGCGCTGCTCTTCTAAATAAATTATTCAGTCGTAGTGGTTTTCGGTAGACATCTGTGATGTCTCAGTTGCCCTATTTAGGGAACTCCCAATTTAGCCTTGATTGGAACGAGACTGGAATTAGTGTGCTAAACGAGTGCTGGCATCACGTTATGTGCCCGTTGGCCGTGGCTCACAGATGTATAAATCACGTTCGAAAAAGCACAACTATCATCAATTCCTGTCCCAATCGATCCTGGCTCACCCCAGTGCCTAAGAGAGTTAGTCAGCGCACTCTAACAATCTGATGTGTTTTTCTCTCTTAGAGAATGTGAAGAGGGACCGGCCGAAACGGAGGATGGCGCTAGTCACTTAAAAACTGTTGCGCTACAAGGTAGATATCACTGCTCTTAATGAGACTGGATTGTCTGCGACTTGTCAGCTAAAGGAATTAGGTGCCGACTATACCTTCTTCGGGATCTGCCGCCCAAAGGCAGGGCGAGGTGACGCTGGCGTCGACTTTGCCAACCTTAAGAATGTTATGACATCACTGCTATGTCTACGATAGAGCATCAAGGACGGATTGATGGCCCTACACCCACCTATTCGTTATTCCATATTCAACACCATCATCCTCACCTCCACTTAACCACCCTCCCTTCACCCTAATGACTAGCTCCGACGAGGCGAAGGAGAAATTCTACGAGGAACTGCATACGCTCCTGATTATCTTTGGTGACTTCAACGCGCGTGCGTCGTGACAGATCAGGCTGCTTGTGAGGGGATGCTTATCTGAGATGCTGAAACTACAATGATCCGTTCTTCTGCAAACCTGCACGGAACATCGCCTTCTTTTGATGAACACCGTCTTCCCCCTTCCCACGGGGGAGGAGGCAAGGTGGATGCACCTCTGCTCGGGGCGCTGGCAGCTGCTGTATTTCGTTCTCGTCCGGAGGTGTGATCGGCGGTACGAGCTGATCACCAAGGCGATCTGCGACGCCGATCGATTGACGGATCACCATCTGCTTATCTCCAAGATGAGGCTCCGTATGCAACCTAGCAGGAGA